AGGAAGGACCGAGTAACTGTTCAGGAACGTGAGGCTGAAGCACTGAAGCAGAAGGAGCTGGAGCAGGAAGCCAGACGCATGGCTGAGGAGAGGCGCAAGTACACACTTAAGGTGCGGGATGTTGTGAGGCTTGGGCGGGAGAAGTGGTGTCTTTAGGTTCTACAAAGATGAAGTCTAATGTTGAATTGTGCTCCTTGTCCAGATTGTAGAAGAGGAGACCAAAAAAGAGCTGGAGGAGAACAAACGGTCCCTGGCTGCACTGGATGCTCTGAATACTGACGATGAAAATGATGAGGAAGAGTATGAAGCATGGAAGGTTCGAGAGCTCAAGAGAATCAAGAGGGACAGAGAAGACCGAGAAGCGTAAGTACAGGGTATTCTGCAGTTAATGATGACAATGGCACAGGCTTCTGGGAGGAAAGCTCTCAGGCCCAGTGTCTACTCCGAGTTCAACTTTTGGTTTTTGTGTTTTGGTCAGCTGACTTTCTGTTCTTGTTTGTTGTGGTGCTGGAAATCAAGGCCAGGGTCGCCGCCTCACTAGACTACCACTGAGCTGCATCTCCAGCCCTATTCCTGTGTTTTGTTGTATTTTTTTGTTTTGTATCAGGAATTGAACTCAGGACCTTGGTCTTGAGCTTTATCCCTGGCTGCTTATTTTTGTGTCACTGGGGACCTAATCTAAGAAGGTGGGATTATATTTTCATTTAATTGGGCCTCTGAAAACACAGAAAAGTCCTACTAAAAATGGTTTTGCTTTCTGGACAGGCTTGAAAAGGAGAAAGCAGAAATTGAACGCATGAGAAACCTTACTGAGGAAGAGAGGAGAGCTGAGCTTCGGGCAAATGGCAAAGTCATTACCAACAAAGCTGTTAAAGGCAAATACAAATTTTTACAAAAGTACTATCACCGGGGTGCTTTCTTCATGGTAAGTGAATCAAGAAATTGGACAATAGGAATAACTCAAAAGCTTTGAATTCTTTTCTCCCCAGGAATGAGAATGAACTGTCCTAAAGTGTTCACCTTCATTAGCAGTGTTCAAGTTTCTCATTTGTTTTTGCTTCAGAAAAATAACCCTCCCCCAAAAAATTAACAACTAGTTTTTGCGATATATATATATATATATATATATTTTTTTTTTTTTTTTTTAAACAACTAGATTTTGGAAGCAGTAGCTACAACTGTTCTCTCTTGGCCTCAGCTCTCTGAAATGAAATGACATAATAGAATTATGGAAATGGAATGGTATCTTTACAGATTACTAAACTAATTTAGTTAATAAAATACTAAACTAGGTTTCAGAAAAAGTACTTACAAATCATATTTAAGTGAGAGTTTTGGTTATATAAAAATCAAGTTCTTCCAGGTGTGGTGATACTTGCTTATAGTTCCAGCACTTAGGAGGCTGAGGCAGGAGCACTGCTTTGAGTTTGAGGCCAGCCTGGGCTACAAAGTGAGTTTGAGGCCAGCCTCAACTACACAGTGAAACTGTCTCAAAAAGACCAAAAAAAGAAAAAAAAAAAAAGAAATCAGGTGTTATATACTAAACTCTAAATATCCCTACTGCTACTAAATTTGTGTCCTTCATTGGAAATTTGGGTAAATTTTAAAACTGATACAGGTTCTTGAGGAAAAACCCAGTATCCTCTGCTTTCTAGTCTTCTCTGTTGTTGAGTTTAATAAATATCCATAAACCATAAGGGACCCGGGGAGATGGCTCAGTGAAATAAGCGCTTCCCTGGCGAGCAACGCAAGGGCCTGAGTTCAATCCCTGGTTCTGCAAAAAAAAAAAAAAAGAAAAAAGAAATATAAGACTGATGATTTTTTTTTACAGGATGAGGATGAAGAAGTATATAAGAGAGATTTCAGTGCACCTACCCTGGAGGATCATTTCAACAAAACCATTCTTCCTAAAGTCATGCAGGTAGGAGAACCCTGGATAACATGAGGTAGAGGACCAAAATATATACTGAAACTGAGGCTTGAGGTGTGGTATGTTGGGTGATATAACTTAGCCATTCTTCCTTCAGGTCAAGAACTTTGGACGTTCTGGTCGTACCAAATACACCCACCTTGTGGACCAAGACACTACCTCCTTTGACTCAGCATGGGGCCAAGAGAGTGCACAAAATACAAAGTTCTTTAAACAAAAGGCAGCAGGGGTACGTGATGTATTTGAACGGCCATCTGCCAAGAAGCGGAAAACTACGTAAGATACAGCCACTTCTTCAAACTGTAGAACACAAGAGGGAGTCTCAGCATCTGATCCTTGATTTTCTTTATTATGTACATGGTCCCTCTCTGCAGCTGACTGGACCAACTGGCATATTTGTGTACCTGAGTGGCTCTGTTTTTGAAGGTGCTTTTTGAGATTTGGACTCATACTCAGAAACTGATTTAAAATAAAATAAAGCACTATCCTGATAGGATTAGAGGCTTCCCAGTTAAAACCATTTTTGAGAAATCCTAGATTTCTCTACAATGGCTTCCCATATTTACTTGGGATTGTTAGGAGTTTCTTTTTCCAGCCCAATAGCTTGAGTCACAAATGTGGGCATATGTGGACAATGTGTTACTTCTAATTTTGGATTAGAAGGCATATATCAGGAAATCTAAGCTATTTGAAACCTGTTTTGCATTTTTTGTTGGAGTCAACTTTTCTAAGCAAACAAATTTTTGATCCATTTATGTGTGTCAAGAAATAAAATTACACACCAGAATGTTAATTTGTCTTTATTTTACACTTACAGAATCTTTATTGCTTAAAATACTATACAAAAAAGTTCATCATGCATATCTTAAGAGATCCACAAGTGATCCAAATTAAAAGTATTTTTTCTATATTTCAGTTATTTGAGATGCTAGGATAATCCATTTATTTATTTATTTTATTTATTTATTTGTGTGTGTGTGTGTGGCCAGCTTAGCCCACCAGGGGGTGGGACGGGCTGGCATGTGGTGCTGGGGATTGAACTGTGGTCCCTGTGCTTTGTTTAGCTTAGCTTGTTCTAAGTAGGTGCTTTAGACCACTGAGCCATCCATCTCACTAGCCCCGGATAATCCATTTAAATGGCTTCTGTCTTCATTGCTTATTTTGACCTCATATTTCCTACAAACTCTATAATTTAACAATACTACTTTGTGTAAGGAGATAGTTTCTTCTGTTACATTTTCTAAGTTCAGGGCTGGCAAGATAGCTCAGCGGTCTAAAGCACCTGCTTAGGCAAACTTAAGCAGGCTTGGGACCATGGTTTGATCCCTGGCACCATGTGCCATGCCAGCCCCACCTTCAGGACTGGCTGAGCCTCACCCCCCAAAAAATTTTCTAGGTCCATAAATTTCATGTTTTGGCAGGCACAATAGCAAATGTCTGTAATTTCAGCACTCGGGAGGCTGAAGCAGGATTGCCATAAATACAAGGCCAGCCTGAACTACTTAACCAGACCCTATCTCAAAAAAAAAAAAAAGCAAAACCTGAGATTCCATAATTACCTGATTTTTCTCTCCTGTTTTGTTACAATGTTAGAGTTGAACTTGTGATCCTTTTGCCTTAGGCTCCCTAATAGCTGGGATTACACATATGTAACACTGTACCCAGCTAAGGCTTTGTAATTCTTTTAGGACAGCATGGCTCCCATTTGAGTGTCTACTCTGAGCAAAGTAGCCAAGCTTTTAGCATTTTCCAGCTCATCAATTCTTTTTTTTTTTTTTTTTTTGCGGAACTGGGGATTGAACTCAGGCCCTTGCGCAGGGAAGCGCTTATTCCACTGAGCCATCTCCCTGGCACCTAAGCTCATCAATTCCTACAACCTATTAGGCATTTATTTCACAGTAGGAGGCTGTTCTTTTTTTTTTTTGGCAGAACCGGGGATTGAACTCAGACTCTTGCGCTGAATTCAAATCTTTCATAAACAGGTTTAAAAATAATCTTTAGCAGGGAGGAGGGGTACATGCCTGTAATTCCAGCACTCACTCAGGAGACTAAGATGGGATTGCCATGAGTTTGAGGCCAGCTTGGGCTTCACAGTGAGCTCAAAGCCAGCCTAAATGGCCTACACAGCAAGACCCTCCCTTTAAGAAAAAGAAAAATCAAAACTTTTTTTTTTTGTGGAACCAGGGGTTGAACTCAAGACTCTTGCGCTTGCCAGGGAAGCACTCTACTGAGCCAAAAAGTAACTTTTGAGGGCCAAAAAGATAGCTCAGTATCATAAGCACCTGTCTCGAAAGCACAAGGTCCCAAGTTCGATTCCTAGTACCAAAAGAAAAAAAAAAAAGCTTTGATCCAGGCAAGATGGTGCACACCTATAACACAGCACTCTAGGAAGCTGGGGCAGAGGAACTGTAGGTTTACATCTAGCCTGGGCACCTCAGAAGACCATGTCCAAATTAAAAAAAAAAAGGTGGGGGTGGGGGTGGGGTAGCTAGCAATGTAGCTCAGTATGAAGGCTCTAATCCCCAGTAATACCAAAACAAAAACCAATGTTTGATATCTGTATCATTATCATGTTCCCAAATGAACTGGGTTGGCAACCTACATATCCATTCAGACTCCCAGGTAGGTGCTGGCCTTTTAGGTATTCCTAAGCTGTGCTGGAGACACCAATCATTGGGTGCATTGGTGCTTGATTCCAAATATACTCTACTGTTGAGAGCGAGCCTAACACCTAGAATGTACATCTGGACACAAAGGACTTTTCTATAATCAAACAGATTTATTAAGGGTTGTGGAAGGATCATTTTAAGTTATACTTCAAAGTACAATTTCCGGGGCTGGTGAGATGGCTCAGTGGTCTAAAGCACCTACTTAGAACAAGCTTAGCAAAACACAGGCACCACAGTTCAATCCCCCAGCACCACATGCCAGCCAGCCCCGCCCCCTGGTGGGCTGAGCTGGCCACACACACACACACACAAATAAAATAAAATAAAAAAAAGAAATATCTTTAAAAAAAAAAAAAGTACAATTTCCCTCAAAAATACAAAAAGCACTTGATCCAAGATAATAAAACTGTAAAAGAAAAAATCTTTATTGCAATAAGTTAGCACAGGCAACATATCTGAGAAGGCAGCAGTCAGTTGGTTAAGGCAATGAGAGCCTCCACCACGTTGCCCATGTGCTCCCGTAAGCTCCTTTCCGCAGCTGCTCGTGAGATCTCCATCTCTGTCATCTGCAAGACAAAGATCCACCATGTTACCTCGGCCAGTTTTCTGGCATTAATGTGCCACCAAACGACTCACCTATGTAAGCAAACAGTGCCAATTAACCAAAACAACCTCCCCAGTCCACAAACTAGTAAAAGCACTAATACTCACTATCAACTCTAGATCTTCCTTCTTGATAGTGACCTTCGCCAGTTCTTTCTCCCTGCAAAATATTATGTACATCAGTCCTTGTATTTCACCTCCATAAGCTCTTGCTGCCTTACATGTAAGTGAATCCTGATAAGGGATTTCAACTAATATCCTTGTGCTTCCCCCTAGAGGCTTTAAATAGCAGGTTTCACCAGGAGTCGTAGCTTACATTAACAAATTGTTAAACTCCAGATCTGTGGGAATTGGTGAAAGGGAAAGAATGGTATAAAGGCTTAAATATGGCTTTTCTGTTGAGGGTGGATCAGGAGCTGCAGACTTACCGCTCCTGTCGGGCCTTCTGCTCCCGGGACCGCCTGTCTCCGATGACAGACATAGCCTATAGAAACACAGGTCTCATTATCGTGCCACTGTTCACAACTCCTGATCACCTAACAGCGGGTCCTGAGCGGCTCTTCCCGTACTTCTACATGATAGCGCATCTTCAGCAGGTTCCCTAGGCCCGCAGTCGCCCTGCTTCTGTGCCCTGGGACCCACACCCAGACCCAGCGCGAACTCTCCCGCAACCTCACCGTCTCCAAATTGGAGCTCTGGATCTCCTTCTCCTCCGCATAGTCGGTGACCCGCTCTAGGTCCGCCGCCCCGCTGTCGTGCTTTCGCGGTTTCTCTGGGGGCCGCTCCGGGCAGCTAGTCTCGGTTTCCAACTCCAGCTCCACGTCCCCCTCGGTAGCCATGTCTATCTCACAGGCCGCGGTGCTAGGCAACTTCCGGGGCCGCACTTCCGCCCATGGAGGGGCGGGGCCAGTATTCGGCCGGTCTACCCAAGGGCCGGATTCTAGAAGCTTCAGCGATTATGGGGTCGCTTGAACTTGGTTCAGGATTTGTAGTGTTTTCTGTAAAGCATTCTAGCCCGAAAGTGTCCCCGCTCCAGACCACCAGGGCCTCCCCTTTGGTTTTCCACCTAACGACATTTCCACGAGACACACACCAAGGAATTTGTCTAACCAGGATGGGTGCTGCCTAATCCTAAACCCATTAAAGCGCTAATCTCCAGGGCAGCTGGGCAAACCGCACTTCACAGAAGCCACCAGTGGCTCAGCACTTCGCGTGGCCTCCACTTCTGGGCCAAGGGGACAGTGGGTGGGCAGCAGCAGGCGCTGTTCTTGTCTGCTTCTCAGCTGGCAGCCCAGGTCTGATGGGGACAGCTGCGAGTGCAGGACTGGGGCTGGCACCGCAGTCGGGAAGCCTGGCGCAGTGAGAGAATTTGGCGAACAGGTCTGAAAGCTTCCTAAAGTAAAAGCTGTTTCGAAAGTGGGAAACAAAAGTGGCTGAAGTTGAGAAGGAAAACATGCAGGGACAATGAAAACAGGCCTCCTCACTGCCCTTCAGGTTCTTGGCCTCAATGAATATTTACATCTCCCGGATGTTTAGGTAGGTCAACCCTGCACTTAAGCCCTTAGCTCTGAACAAGGCATTCTGAGCATCCTTGAGTAAATTAAGAAAAACTCTGGAATTCAGCCTCCTAAATTAACCTCACACAAACTACATCAACGTTTACCTTTCCTCAGCAAATCTCCACCTGTACTTGATTTTCCCCAGGTATCCTGTTTATCTCTTCCTTGTGCCAGCTACTACCCGAGTCTACCCCCAGTCGCCTGTTATACATTTTCCTCCTCTTGGGGACCTCTGCAATCTGCTGCCTCTTGCTGCCAGGGACAGTGGTGGAAAGGCTCTGAGGCCAAGGACAAGGGCTAAGTGGGAGGGCAGGGTGCAAGGTGGCAGAAAATAGGAATGAACACTGAAAACAAGATTCTGGGGGCAGGGGACACAGGAGTAGCTACATACTCCCCCCAGATCCACATGGCCTTGGGGCTCTGTGCCCACCTCTTTGGCCACTGTGCCTGTCCTGTGCTGTTTCTGGGGCAGGAATGGCTTCCACCTGCTGCAGGCTGTGTTCCTGGTCCACCTCCCAAGGGCACAGGTGTATTAACAGGTTTTTGTGTACTCTTTGGGTGGGGAAGTGACAGGGCAAAGTAGACAAGAGCTGGGTAAAGGAAATTCTGGGATGAAGTAATGGCACATTATAGAAGAAAACAAGTTTAAGTCCCTGCTTCCACTGTATTCACTGTGTTGACTATGAGCCAGACAGCTATCCTTTGGGCATCCAGAATAAAGAACAATGAAGTTATTGTATGCATGCCCTCTGTAAAATGTAAAATGCTGCCTACATGGTATTTAGGTAGCTTGAGTTACAATTTGAAACAGTGCAATGAGCCTGTTCCAAGGCCCTCTCACTTGTGATCTGTTCCTTTTTTGTTATTGTCCTCTCTCCAAAAAACTTCAGCTCTTTCCTTTCCCCTTGCCTCACAACTTTGCCTTGTTTTAGGGTTTTTGTAGCAGGTGGGCCTTGCACAGGCTAAGCATGCATTCTACCACCAGGCCTTTTTGAGAGAAGGTCCAAGACCACCAGGCTGGCCTCAAACATATGATTCTGCCTCAGTCTTCTGAGCAGTTGTGATTATAGGTGTGTTCCACTATGCCTGGCTCTCAGCCTGGTTCTCTCCTCCTAAGCTTCTGGTTCCTCAAGCCACTGTTCCTGTTAGATTGCTGTACCGTTGCCTTGTGCATTCCTGATGAGTATCTTTCCAGTAATCTCACACAATCAGTAGTAGTTAAAAGGCTAACATAGTGGGAGGGAAGAACAGCAGCAACATATGTAAAAGATGTATTTCCCACTGGTGCAACCTTGTAGCCTGCCACTACATTGGCATCTGTGGTGGCTTTTCTTCCATTCTGTTGGTATTTGTCAAAGCCCTGGCACATTCCTGGAACAAGAACTGGTAAGGAGCATGCCACCCCAAAAGCTCTTCCAAGGGAGGTTATCCAGCATTAGTGGATTCAGGTAGGCTGGGCAAAGGGCATAGCAAGTCATTGGGACATTTCCCACTAAGCAGTATTAAAAAGCTGAGAACTGTGGTAACTCTGTGGGCCAAGTGGGATGAGTAATCACATTCATCAATAATTGGTAAAACCTAAGGGCTAGAGCTTCAAGCCATTCCTCCCATCCTCCTCATACAAACAGATACAGGCCAGAATTCAGCTGGTTCCTAGGTGTACTGCTGGATACCCTAGGACTCACGGTGGGTGTGTGGGAGCTGTGCTTCTGTTTTACACCACACACATCCAGCTGGTTGCCTGCTCAACAGGATGCTTAGTCCGCACCTGTTTTTGTGGCCTGCTCCTCTTCTTCTCCCATCATTCCTTGCATCTGCCTGAGTGGGTACATAAGCTAAGCCAGTGATGGTGAACTTTTTTAGTTTTCAATACAAATAGCCTACTTCCACACATGTGCCACAGGTCCACCGCCACTCCTTAAGATATTCTAGGTTTGGGGGAGACTTTTAGTATTTTAACAAATGGCAATTACCTAATAAAATAATCTCTTTCCAACAATGGATGTGGAGGCAAAAGTGCAAGTGGAGGTAGAAATGCAGAAAACCACCACCCGGAAAACACCACCTGTTCCTCCCAGAGCAATCCCCAAATGGCCTTCTACAAGCCTGTATCAGCTGCTGGGTCATGTATCTGACCTTCTCTGCATTATCCAGTGGTCTTCCAGAGAAGATAGGACCTGGACTGCCAATGCCAAGAGTTTTTCTGCTCTCATCAAATAACCAACTCCTCATTCAAAACACTTTTCTCTTGCCCCACCCCCACCCAAGTAACCCTTCAAAGACAGAATCACAGCATGTCTGCCTGGCCTGAGTAGAACGAATCACCAAATACCACATACTCCACTACCAGTGCTGAGTGCTGCCATCATGTATGCTTATGTGCTGTTTGCTTGATGCCTAAAAGATGTTAAGGTGAAAGATGTTAAGGGAAGATGCTCAGGACCAGGTGGGTCAGTCAGGACAATGTCTAGGACCATGGTTTATTTAAACTTTAGACCAAGACTAGAACAAGAACAGCTCTCAAAGAACAGGAACAATTTCTAAAAATAGCACTTTGTCAGATGATATGTATGAGATGTTGGAGGTGGGGAAAACGACTCGAGAATTCAAATTTGTACAGATTTTAGGGCCTTCATATGAATATATTTTTAAGCCTTTGTTGAAAAGTGGCTCACAGCACTCAGGATTACTAATTTGGACTAATCAACAATAAATGCCCCTGAAGAATCTTTACTATTTGACTCAACCTGCTTGAGAACTTTTTTTCTCAGCAATAAGGTTTCCTATCTGGCTGAATACTTTGGGCCCTTGTGGATCAAGGTTTACAGCTATGAGTTCCAGGTGAGGATCAAGAGCTCTGTACCCCCAATATCCCCCCAACACACAGACACAGACACACACCCCCACCAACCTCCACCCACAATGCTCAGATTCTAGCTATGACCTTTTATTGAGTACCCACAATGTGCTAGGCACTGTGCTAGATAATTTACATAATCTCATTTAATTTAATCCTCACAACAACCCTGTGAGGTAGGTATATGCTCCATTTTACAAATGGAGAAATTGAGGCACAAAAGATTAAACATCGAAGTTTGCATAGCCAGTTATATGCTGGAGTTAGAATTTGAACCCAGGTGTGCCTCCACTTCTTACACTAGACAAATCTTTTCAAAGGTGCGTTTTCTAGATCAACACTTTCAGAGTTCTTAGAAACCGTTCTATAACATTCTGTCCTGTTTTGCAGAAGCCTTCACTGTTTCTAGTGCCCTCAGTGAAGCAAGAGTGTCAAGTGACAAGTCTGAAGAAATGACAGGACTCTAAATATAAAGTGCCAAAGAGCACTGAAGAGGCTTCATGAGGGTTGGGAAGATAGCTCAGTAGCATAAGCACCTGCCTGGCAAGCACATGGTTCTGAGTTCGATCCCTGACATAAGGAGAAAAAAAAAAGAGGCTTCATACAAGTAGCTGGGTAAGCAAAGGGACCAAGGTTCAATCCCCAGTGCCACATGCCACACTGGCCCCCACCCTTTGTTGCGTTGAGCCAGCGACTGAGGCTGGGTGTGGTGACACATGCCTGTAATCCCAGCAATGGAGAGGCTGAAAACAGGAGGATCACTACGATTCAATCTGTGTAGTGAGACCTTGTACAAAAAAAAACAAAGAAACAAAAAAAGTAGCTGGGAAAGAAGCAATACTGCTTTCTACCAACACTTCCCTCCCCACAGGGCAAAACAGTGGGATACCCAGGTCAGCTGAACAAGAACACCTCCAGTGCAAGCCCAGTATCTATCATGCCTTCCATTCTTGTTTTCTTCCTTGCTTTACTCTGTCATGGATACCCTTACTGATTCAGGTGAGATGCATACAGGTTGAGATACCTTCCTAAAATCCTAGCTTGGGGCCAGGGAGATGGCTCAGTGGAATAAGCGCTTCCCTGGCAAATGCAAGGGCCCGAGTTCAATCCCAGGTTCCACAAAAAAAAAATAAAAATAAAAATAAAAAAATCATTCCTAGCTTTTCAAAGCAAACAATTCAAGGCTACTCCAAAGTTTCCAGGTCAGTTTTCCAAGATTGTGGGAAGGTAGGACAGTCTAAGGCCCAAGTATTCGCTAACAAGTTTTTAGTTCCACAGCCATGAAGAAGCAGAGCTGGAAAAGACATTCACTAAGGGTT